TGTATTAGAGGAAATTACCAACATTAACTTGTAAAGAAAAAGTAAGCGAGAAAATTCATAAAGGACCAACAGAGGGCGTTTATTGCGTATCCCTGCAAGTACTAGAAGCAAGTCGATCTTTTACATCCTATTAACAGCACAACTTAAGTGTTTGGTCCCAGATTGCTTTATATCGCTTTAAATTTTGCATGGTTCTTTTTTGATTAAAAAAGTCGTGAGCACATAAGTTCTCATTGAACTTTATGCCCTAATTTAAACATATTCTCATCAGCTTATGGAAGTAGAATAAAGTGCATTATAATCCCTTTAAAGTGGATTGTAATCCACTATCCCCTATAAGCCACTCTATATGCAGATGTTAGTTGTCCCTTTTGTGGTTTTTATATTTTAAATAGTAGGCAATAAAATACCACATGCATCTATGATTATATTCATATAGATAATTAGAGTCTAAAATTTTAAACACAAAAGTATACACGCAATATATAAATGATTTTAAAGAATTAAACATAAAATGTAGCATATTTACATGACAATATACAGCTGAAAAGTTACAGTTATCTTTTTTCACTTTAATATTGGAAGGGGCGGAATGGATTTTAAATCCCCCAAATCAAAATTATCTGTATTGTATTTCTTCTGTTCTTTAGGCTCTAAATTTTGACAAACTTCCGTATGTTTCAATACTGTACTTTTCAAACTTGAAATTTCCTTTTGCTGATTTATTACTGTATCTTTGAGGTACTTTGTTAAAAGTTTCAGATCATTTAATTCCTTTTCAAAATTACTAAGCTTATTGTTTGTGACAACAACTTTAAGTACATCTTTTAACAAAGTGTTCTCCTCTTTAAGTTTACTAATTATTTTTTCTTGTTCTGTACTTTGAACAGGAGGTGTATCTGATTCAATAGTGTTACAACTACTAATTAAACTGTCTCTAAATGTAGAATTTGACTGGTACATACTAAAAATTTTCTTACAAAGTTCCATAGGTTTACTGACTCCTAATACTGTGTTATCTGCAGTTATATAACACAATTGATAGATCTCGTTTATATCTTTAGGTAGATTTTCTTCTGCAAAGTTAAAAATATTAAATTAAAATCCTTGAAACAAAAGAGACTAGACATTTTATACAGAGATAATTTACTAATCACCTTTAAAGGTTACTGAACCACTTTTGCTGGTGACCCACTCAAAAACGACATAGTCCTTAAGAAATTGCCACCCTAACTTAAATATTGCTATCCTGTCTCCTTCTTGTACATCATGATCGATTAAATTATATTTGCATATTAAATCCTCCTCATAGACGATATCAAATTCCACCTGACAATGAACACATTAAAAAGGCATTCCAAAATGTACGATGAGGTAAACTCAAAACTTACTTTGGGTAAAATAGCTGCCTCAAACGATTCCAAACTTAATAAACTCATTTTATTTATAAAATACTTACAATTTTTACTACAATGTTGTATATTTACTATTATTATTATTATTGACATTAATCTCTTCACCATAGATTTCTCTTGACATATCTAGAAGTGTCTACAATGATGCCACCGTCAGATATAATAGATACTAGCATAATAAACGTATCATTTTGAACGCCATTTTTAAGAACATAAACGTTTGCTTTATTATATTTGTTTATCTTTATTGGCAATAATATACAAATTTAATGATTAGAAGTATTTATAAAAATAAAAGTGTAAAATGCCAAAAAATATACTGGTATTTTATTACGAATATGCTGTTTTATACGAATTCTGGTTCCTTAAAATGTTTCTTCAAACCTTGCCAGCATTTGAAGTAATCTGGGTCTAGTTTTTGACAAACTTTAGCACCCCATTTTGTAACTGCCAAGCCTAAACAACTTTCAAACATGAAAGCCTGAAAAAAGTTGTTTTATTGATAAAATTAATAAATAAATAAACAAACCTGTGTTCCATCAGCAACTCTGAATGGTACCAATTCTTCATTGCTGGCTTGTTCAAAACATTTTACGTCAGGACCGTGGGGTGTCATGATGCTATGTAAAGTGGCTCCTCCAGGGTTGAAACCGTCGCGTTTTGCCTCATATTGGCCTAATATCAACCCCATAAATTCTGACATGCAATTTCGGTGATAATAAGGTGGTCTAAAAGTATGTTCTTGAACAGACCACCGAGGAGGAAAGATAACAAAGTCTGCTATCGCGGTACCTTTTTGATCAGACTGACAACTGAGAACAGTAAAAATTGATGGGTCCTAAAACGAAATTCCTTTCGTAATTGTTACCATAGGGGCCATTACGTAAATAATATTTACACAATGGTCAAAAGATACTGAATTTATGACCATAAAGTTTTCCAAGTTGTATTTGTATGGTACGTAATTTCCATGCCAAGCAACCACATCAAAAGGACTATGGTCCTGCTCGCATACAAAGAGTTTCCCTTGATATTTGGAAACGATTTCGTAAATTTCGTCTCTGTCTTCGTACCAGGCCACAGGGGTTAAAAAGTCCCTAGGATTTGCGAGTCCATTGGCACCAATAGGGCCCAAATCAGGTAACACAAAATGTCGCCCAAAAATTTCCAAGATATACCCTCTCGAAGGCCCAGTTACATTAACATTAAATCGCATTCCCTGTTGAATTACGACAATTTCGTTGGGCTGTATTTCTAATCGGCCAAATTCTGTCGTAATCTTTAAGGTACCCACTTGTGGTACTGAAAGTTATTTTTGGTATAAATGAGTAGCATAGTGACTCACATGTTTTGAAGTGGAAATACCTATTAAAAAATCTCCGTCAGCATTATAAAAACCGCGATTCTTCATCGGAACGTTGCAACTATAAATGTGTATGGCAAGACCAACTTTTAATTTTGGATCACCTGCACCACAAACGGTATTTAAACCTTCGACAAAATCTACTGATTCCCCATAAGATGGCAAATCGAATGGCTTCCAACGCATCTGGTTATATAATTGTTTGTATTGATTATGCACAAGAAAAGCAATTTACAATCTACATACCTGGTTTGGATTGGGTTCGCATTCTGTCCAATCATGGACTACATTCCCCTTTGGAAATTGCCCATATAGTTTATGGCCAACCGAAGGTCTAATTCTGTAAAGCCAAGTTCTTCGATTATCACTCCTAGGAGCAGTAAAGGCAGATCCTGAAAGCTGCTCGGCGTATAGTCCATAGGGACATTTTTGGGGACTGTTTTGCCCTTTGGGTAAAGCTCCTGGACATCGTGGATCTTCTGAGCTGAATTCTGATCCAAAACCTCTCAAATACTGTAAAACAAGTGGTTTCAAACAATTTCTAGAATATTTTTTATTTAGTTATTGATAATTAAAACAATATTGTACCTGAAGATTTTCAACTTGAGACATTTTCATTTGTTTTGGTCGACACACTTCCCTATTACTTAGCATCCAGCACACTACTTATTTATACATTGTATAAAGTACAAGTATCAAATTTTTACTTTATTTGTTTTTAACCGTACACAAGCTTCACACCCACGAAAAATTAGATGATCTAATGTTAAACGTTAAATTTTTGTAATTTGAAAGCAAACGACCTTGCAAACAACTTCTGTCGAATTAAAAAATAAAAATTGTATCAGCTGTTTGAAGTTTGTTTATTTGAAACCCCAACAATTCAGTAGACATACGTTAAAATAAGATGCTGACAAATTTTAAACGGTAAATGAACTAAAAATTAGAAGATAATCTAGCGTTTTTATGACATTAAAAACATTTTTATATTTAAATTTTTGTTTTTTTTTGTTATAATTCTGTTTCGAGACCTGTTAACCAAATATGCGTAGTATTAAAATAAATGATGACTACGTAAAATAATCTGCAGAGAAAGTTGCAATTTTATAGCTAGGTCAAATATGTTTATGAAGACAAATTTTGTAATAGTTTACTTACGTGCAATCCTGATTAAAATTTACAAAGAAAGAACCAGAACCATTTGAATCTGAAGCGTTATTTGTGTTGCTCATGAGTCCGTTTGAACACGATTTTATATATTTCTATCAACACAAATTGTGTTGAATAATGACTGATAAATTTAACAAAGTTTTATGCCAAAATACTATTGCCTTTCGACACAAAGAACGGCCTTGGTAATTGATAATCACAACACTAACAAAATTACACCACTTCTTCCATTTTGTATTGACAGAACAGCTGATGACAAACGTATTTGCGCAAGACAAGGCGGAGCAAATATTGATATACATAATAATAATACTATTTTTTTAATTTTAATAAGTACCTGGATATTTTGATAAAAATAAAAAGATTTATTTATTTTATACTTCTACATCGTCCATGTAACACTGGAAAGAAAATTGATAGGTGCAGTCTTTTACAAATGCTTTAAATTATGTATTTTAATTAAAAATTTTCTGTATAACTTTAATTTGAAAAAGGAGAATTTTCTGTATTTTAAAATTTACTAGAGCATCAATAAGAAAATAGAAATATAGAAAAGAGATTCCCTGATAGTAGTGGCTAAATATATTAAAATTTGTTGAACGGCTGCCTCCGTCAACTGTCAATGTCAATGTCTATGATCAATGTGAATTCTGAAAGAGAAGATAGAAAGTTAGGTTGTGTTTTTGAAGAAGTGTTTTACTTTTACATATTTACTTAATAAAATCGAGAATGTCATATAAAAAGAATTTAAATTCTAGTGAAACTGATCAAAATCAAGATCAAACGTGTGTAGTGTGCTTTAAGAATGTAGATATTTACTCCATTGGAATTTGCGATCACCCTGTTTGTTACGAGTGCTCCACTCGAATGAGGGTGCTCTGCCGCCAAAATGAGTGTCCCATATGTAGGGGAGACATGCCAAAGGTATAACATAATTTCAACTTGTTATCTCAGGCAGAATTTTTATCAAAAGTAAGCGTTGTCAATTTGACAACAGCTATTTTTAGACCAAGTACAACCTGTGAACAGATACTTATATTATTTCGATGTCAGAGACTTCTTTAGCAATTGTTTCAAGTATTGGAGAATACAGTGCCGATAGTAGCATTGAATTCTTAAAGTTTTTATTCCACCACAAATATTGTAAAAAGCTCATATGTTAAACATATTGCTAGTATTAGTTCAAGCATGTGATTTTAAACAATATAAAGAATAGTAGTTTGTTGTGTTAGGGGGAATTCCCACTAATTTAAGAATTACTTCCAGGTAATATTTAGTAGAAATATTGAGCCATTTGCAGTTCTAGAAGAAAAGAGTAGGCATGTCAATATGAAAGATGCAAAATTTGGTTTCTATTTCTTGTCTCCATCAATTCAGAGAGCTTACTACCGTCTCTTAGAACATGAATGCTTTATTTGTCGCAAATATAGAAATTCAGGATTTAGAACGTTTCAACAACTTAAGGAGCATATGAGAAAAGAACATGAACTTTTCTACTGCGATTTGTGTGTTGAGAATTTGAAAATTTTCACCTGGGAAAGAAAATGTTATACAAGAGGTGAACTAGGAACACATAGGAGAAAAGGAGATGTAGATAACACCTCACACAGGTTTCCATTTATTTTATTGGGTTTATGTTATTTCTGATGCTTGAAGTATTGTAGAGGTCATCCATTGTGCGAGTTTTGTGATACTCGTTTTATGGATAATGACGATTTGTTTCGTCATTTGCGGCGTGATCATTATTACTGCCATTTCTGTGATGCTGATTGTAAACACCATTATTACAATTCTTATAATGATTTGAGAAAACATTACCTCGAAGAACATTACTTGTGTGAAGAAGGTGACTGTAAATATGAACAGTTTACGTCTGTTTTTAGAACTGATATTGACCTCAAAGGTGGAAATATTTTATCAACAGAGTTAAGAATAAATGGTTTCAATAATGTTTAAATTTTTAGCACATATTACTTCTGCTCATGGGAAATCTTTAAGTAAAGCTGCTACTAAACAAGCTAGAACGTTAGAATTAGAATTTACATTAGCACCAAGATCCAGGCCTGGAGGAGAATTCAATTTAACACCAAGATCTAGACCTGGAGGCGGCATAAAAGGAAGAAGACGTGGCGATTGGTAAAAATAAGAAACATTATTTTGCGTTTAAGAACTGTTTTTCTGCAAGGTGTTCCAAAAAAAATACAGAACTTTCAATAAATACTTTTATTCTGAGATTGTAGTAGGACTTCACATACTTATCTTTTATAATATGACTTCTAGTTATAACCAGGATGAAGAAGGAGCTGTGGGTTATAGCAAATATAATGTAGAGCCTGGTGGAACGGATAATTTAGATAATAGAACCGAAGACATTTTTGTGAATCCCCTAAATGCCGAAAATTTCCCCTCATTGAGTGGAGAATCTGGTACAAGTACCAATACTCGTACAGTTTCAAATGTAACCATAACATCGAAAAAATTAAATCCATTTAGTGAAGAAAACTTTCCATCTTTAGGTAAAGTATAAAATTTCAAATTGATATTATGTTACAACTCCACCAAGAAAAAATTAACTTCAAATTTGGCAATAATTTTTAGGTGGCTCAAGTTCCGTTCCCGCACGTCCTTCGGCTGTGACAATAACTACAACTTCTAACAAGTTCAATCCAAATAATGCCTCGGACTTCCCTAGTCTGGGTAGTGCAGCGTCTTCGAGACAACCTCCTGGAGTAACGATAACAAGAACCGTCAAACAACCTGGTACCAGTCGCAATTTAAGCGATTTTCCTTCTTTAAGTGAAACTGCTGGTCCTTCTTCAGCCAGTACAGTACGTTTAAGTGTAAAGTAAGTTAGCGAATTAATAATTATGTTGGATATTATAATGTTTTTTTTTTATAGTAGTAATCAAGATAGACCTCAAAGTGCAAAAACCTCAAATGTTTCTATTCATGTAAATCATAAAGCAAACGGGGTGATAACAACTCGTATCAGTCAAACACCAACTAGCAGTATTTCAGTTAGTTCGAAAACCTCGTCCAATGATTTTCCTGCTCTAAGTAAAGCTTCCGTACCTGTGCCACTATGGGTTTCTCAGAAACCGAAGAAACAACAAGAAGCGAAAGCATCTAAAGTTGCTCCTGCACCTACTCTACCTCCAAACAGCCTTAATGACTTCCCTATTTTAAATAAATCAGACAAGGGCAGAAAAACCGCCAGCGTTACTATGCCAATATCAAATACTTGGGTGAATTTGAATAATTATAATAATCAAGTAAAAAGCAATAAAACTAATAATAAAAATAGTAGTACTGAAGGAGATGGGAGTAATGAAGTACCTGAAAGTGAAATGAAACAACAAAAAAGTGAGAAAAAGAGTGGAAATAAAAGTTCTAATAAAAATAATGGGAGAAGTAGCAGTTCAAAAAGCATAATCCTTAAAAGTTCTAACATAAATAGTAAAAGTA